GTTCTGGAGATATATCGAAAGGTCTTGAGGGGGGGGGGCAAAAAATAGCCCCCCCCCACCAGGGCGCGGGCTAGGGACATAATCACTAGGGATTAGGGACATTAACCCGGCACCGCCTGGGCTATTTCCGTACCCACGACAGCCTGGGGGGTCGGATCCGACCCCCCCCCCCCCTGTTATCTCGAGAACCAATGGTCGCATCGAGCCCCGCGAGGCGGCGTTCGAAAGGTCTCTACGAGACCTTCCCAAAGCATTCTTAAGATTTTAAGATTGAGGTCAACTTTCGGGTCAAGGTCAGGTCAAAGGTCAAATTCAGGGGTTTTGCATGATTAGGCTTACGGACAGCGGAATCGATAGCTGCTGCTCGAAACTCACCAAAAGTGACCTCAAAGGCCTAGCGAAGGTACCATGTGCGTATAGGGGTCATACTAAGTACGGGTCAAGGTCAGGTCAGGTCACGAAAGGTCACGGTTTTCACTTTCTGCTACATGAGCGTGCGACACATGTTTTATGGCTTATTTTTCACGCCGAATCCGATGGTAATGGTTATATGTGACCCCAAGTCACTGTGCTGGTGTGCATTGAAAGCATAAAAATCGTTTATACCATACATAACTAAACGAGGGCTGAGAAATTTTTCAACTTTTTATTTTTGACATAAAAATGCACTTTCCTAGACGAGCTTTGTCCCAGGAATCTATTGGTGCCATTTGTTTTCACATGCGATGTTCAGAAGTGCCTCTAATTCACGAAAATGCTTATGACGTCACCATGCCCTATGCATGTTGGAGCTATTTTTTACAATTTGGTGGTCAAAAATCGAGATAGAAAGTTGAAATTTGGGACATCTAATGTTCTAATAGAGCTCTATAACATATATTCCGGTTTTTTGGAAATTCTCAAAATTTTGGATTTTATTAGCTGTTTTCCAAAAAATGTAGTTTTTTGAATTTTTAGGGGTTAAAAACGCATTTTATGTAAAATCCGAGATAGCCATTTTAAAGAACTCGTTGAGCTGCGTCTATTCATGTCCTTAATTTGTAATTTGCTTTTAACCCTGATTTTTGGCGATTTTTTAAACATTTACCTTTTTTTGACTAAAAACGCCATGTAGTTACATCACTAAAATCGATATATCTCAATTTTTTTTGGAAATTTTTTCTTAAAAATTACACAGGAGACGTCAAATTGGTGGGGGAGAAGGTATACCAAGTTTCAAGTTGACAGCGTAAGCGGTTCTTGAGTTATTCAAGAAAAACGGAGGGGGGGGTCGGATCCGACCCCCCAGGCGGTCGCGGGTTAACCCTCGCCCGCACATGGGGGGGGATTGCCCCCCCCCCAGGTAGTCTTTCTGCTCTGCACTCAACATTTTTAGAGTTAGAAGGCTGATTTTTCGTATAGCTGCTCCTCTATCCTTTCTTGATGTCCACTGAAAATTTCAAGTTTCTGTGATTTTTGGTTTCGGAGATATGACCTTGCTTTTCAGGTCATGTCATGGCCCAAATGGCCAATTCTCAACATCTTGCGTTGGCTATGGGCCTTGTGAGCTTTTGACACCTTGATTTCGGCCTTTTTTGCCAGTCTTACCTCCCACCTATCTGACCTATCATCGAACATGTTGTTCGACGATGTACAGATGTCAAGGTCAGGGTCAAGGTCAACCTAGGTCATCTAAGATAATTGCGTTTTAGGCAAGCTGAATTTACTTTTTGTGAAGTTTTTTGACTGCATCTTTGGTAAAAGCTTCTCAGATCATGATTTCATGTAATATGGACACATAAACAATCGGTGCACACATCAGTATACACACAGACACACACAGACATACAAACACATATCATTGACCTTGACCTAACTTGACCTGAAATGACCTCAGCAGCAAAAACCTGGTCGGCTAGTGTGACAAAGAGCTTCTAGCTGGCTTGGCACCAGAAAACGGCATCGTCATCGGTATATGATAAGCAGCGCACTTGATATCCAACGGTGACCAAAAACAGCAACATTTTTTAGTTTAACCTGACCTGGAAGGTCAATGACTGACCTGAGAAGGTAAAACTGGGTATCATTGGATTCGTCTCTTCCCAAAGAATCTTTTTTGTCCTTACCGCTAAGCTCTATCTCCAACAGGAACGAAATGGCGCGGGGGGGGGGGGTGGCAACCACCTCCCCCCCCCCATGTGCGTTCTAGGATGGGAAAATGGCATGTGCGGGCGAGGGTTAATGACACTATTGTTGAGTTTCTAGCGTCATTTTGTGCCAAAATGTTAAAGGAAACAGTCCACTTTCCTGAAATCAGTATTTTGCTATTGATTTATGATTTTTTATGCTCAAAATAATCATGAAACAAAATAAAACCTTTTTGTAAAAACAATTATTTTCTTTATTTTAATATAGGGCGAACTATATTCTATGTAAAATAATGTTTGACGCGGAAGCTTATTACGCATTGACCAATCATATTGCGTAGCTCAAGCCTACGAATACTGCATTGGCTGTAAGCAGCACGCTGATTGGCTGACGATGACGTGGCTGCATTCCTGTGCAAGGCACGCATTCCTCTACAAGGCACTCTTTTCGGAATGAGAAATGGAATTTCTTCGTCTAGGGTGATCGTTGAGCCGTAAAAGCTCCTGATTTGTGCTAGTCTCAGCTCAAGCTACGAAACTGCTATTCCAGCTCAAAACCCCATGTTAAAAGTGAACTATTTCCTTTAACAAAAACGTAGTTTGACGTCATTTGACCTCAGATGACCCGAGCCTTGCATTCTTGCAGCAAGTACCTACCCATTAAATTTATCACGTATTGCTGTAAACTGGCTACTGAGGCATCACAGCACAACAAACACGTTGAAATGGAACATATTTTTACACGTTAACCCTCGCCCTGGCAGGAGGGGTTGATGCACCCCCCCATGTTTTTTTTTAAAGATAGTGTAAAAACGGCGGCGCAAATTTGGCAGGCCTATGGTGCAGCCTTTTTACATATGGCCTGTAAATTTCAGGTCCGGGTGGCCTTGGGTTAGGTCACCAGGTCAGAAAAACCGGCAGGATCATGTTCAAATTTCAATTTTCTTTGTGCACCTGTCCAGCTCATAGTTTTGGACTGATTTCCTTTATACTTGCAGGATGTGCTTAGCTCACCGAGTTCTATAACATATCGTTCGTTTTTTATGTCACTGACATGAGCTCAGTTAGAGGTTATTACGTCGTAATGTTAACCCGCGCCCCGCTGGGCTATTCAGCCATACGTTCCCTGCTGGGGGGGGGGGGGGGGACAGATTCTGCCCTTCCTGTCTAACTTCCGAACCGATGGTCGTAGAAAGACGGGGTAAGCGGCAATCGAAAGCTCTCAACAAGGCGGATCTTGATCCTTATTTTTTTTGCCTAGGTAGGTCAGAGGTCAGATCAAGGTCAGGTCAAGGGTACAAAATGCAAGTTTCTACAATATATTATCGGCCTTGCACCGTAGTTGCCGAATAATGGACTGAGACTGATTGCCCAAAACGTGTTCTTAGGCTACCAAGACAATATTCGTTGCATACAATATCATGCAAAGGTCAAGGTCAAGGTCAAGGTCAGGTCACGTCACCAAAAACGAAATATAGAAAAGGGCATGTGCGACACATGTTTTATTGGTCATTTTATTCATAGAATTCAATAGGCACACTCAATAAGTGATATGGACCACATCTGGATGAATCTCTCTCAGGTCGAGGCCACAGGCAGTGAAAACCTAGTCGGATAGTGTGACAAAGAGCTGTTCTAGCTGGCTTGGCACCACAAACGGCAGCGCCATCGCTATATGATGGGCACCGCACGTGATATTCCAACGGTGGCTCCAAGCAGCAACATTTTTAGTTTGACCTGACCTGGAAGGTCAATGATTGACCTAATGAGGTAAAATTGGGTACCTACCATTGGATTTGTCTCTTCCCAAAGAATCTATTGGTCTTTACCGCGAAGCTCTATCTCAAGCAGGAACGAAATGGCGCGGGGGGTTGGCAACGTTTTAGGATGGGAAAATGTGCGGGCGAGGGTTAAGTAAGAAAAAAAGTAAATCATTCGACGCGCCTTGACGTGCTGAGTTCAATGCTGCTCTTATTTTTGCTCTATCTGAATTAGATCAAAAGTTATAAGCGAAAACCTTTTGACCTGTTTTTAGCAGAATTTTTACATTTATGCTCCCAAACCCCCCCTTAATATTGACCTAGAGCAATCAAATTTGCACAAAAAATTCCAGGGGGCCCACCTACCTACCAAATTTGGTGTTTCTAGGTGCCATAGGAGCCAAACGCGATGGGCAGGGGGTTCGCATCAACCCCCCTGCCAAGCCGTGTTATGAAAAATGCCCTGCCAGAGCGAGGGTTAAGCCATTCGGCCAAATTTTCTCGGAATTTGTCGCGACCTCTACATGACCTCAGGTCATCTGAACTTGAAAAACCTGGATGTATGTAGGTTATACAGCTTGAGCTTAGCATACCCTGACAGTTTGAATCAAATCGATGAGCAATTCTAGATTTTATTGACAACATAGCGTATTTCCATTGCCATTTTGTTGACCTTGTACCGGTTTTTGTGACCTTGTAACCTGACCTGAGGTCACTGGAACTCAAAACTCCTAGAACGTACTGCAAATGATTGCCCCAAGCTGTGTCTTAAATTTGATGGCGCTATGTGCCACAGTTCTTACGCTATTAACGGAAAAAATTATGTGATTCCGTTGCCGCTAAACTAGCCCAATTTTGCCTTGACCTTGCATCGGGTTTGGTGATCTAAGTAGTGACCTGACCTGAAACTATTGAGACCTGAAGTTTTCAGGGAGAGTGCCAAAAGGTTCTCACAGAGGGTATCTCAAAATTGGCGGCGCTACGCGCCGCTGGTTTTACGGTACTTGCCAAAAACCTTAGGGGGTTGCATCAACCCTCCTGGCCCGGCGAGGGCCGTGCCAGGGGCCCCTGGCCGTGTCATTGTTCCTGTGCTGACCTCCGTTACCGTTTCCAGCGGTTCACCCGCAGGTGCGCGCGCTGATGGGCGCCGAGCCGCGGCTGGCGCTGGCCTCAGCGGCCGTGGTGGCCGCCCAGCTGTACGTGGGCTACCTGCTGCGCCGCTGTTGCTGGCCGGCCGTCGTGGCCGCCGCCTACCTGGTCGGCGGCTCGCTGTGGCTGCTGCAGTTCACCCTGCAGCACGACGCCCAGCACCGCAACGTGTTCGGGCCGCGCTGGCCGCGCCTCAACGACGCGCTGGCCTGGGTGCTGGGCGCGCCGGCGCTGGTGCCGTACCGGTTCGGCCGGCGCCGCAAACACCTCGACCACCACCGCCACCTGGGCGAGCCGGGCAGGGACGCCGACCGGCCGTCGGAGGGCCAGGTGGCGCTGAGCCGCCGCCGCGCCGGCCGCCTGCTGCTGCTGGTCACCGCGCCGCTGGCGTCGCGCGCGCGCCAGCTGCGCCGCCCGGCGGACGCCGCGCAGTCGGCGCTGCTGGTGACCGGCGCGCTGCTGCTGGGCGGGCCGCGCACGGCCGCCTACCTGGCGCTGGGCCCGCTGCTGGGCCGCATGCTGCACCCGTTCGGCGCCGCGCTGCTCTGCAGCCACTCGTACGGCCCCGGAAACCAGGTGGTCACCTACAGCTACCGCGGACCGCTCAACTGGCTCTTCCTCAACACCGGCTACCACATCGAGCACCACGACTTCCCCAACGTGCCCTGCTGTCGGCTGGCGGCGGTGACGCGCGCGGCGCCCGAGTTCTACGCTGGCCTGCCCCACGTGGACAGCTGGTTCACCTGCATGATCAACTATGTGACGGGCGCGGACCGCGACCTTACCACCCGACACGACACCTGAGTTTCAGCAGTGAGCACTGAGCCAGGGCCGGACGAAGAGACCGGTTAAGAGACAATGAGGCAGCTCGCGCACGGCGGGATACGGAGCGGTACAAGATGGCGCACAGTGGAAGGAATGGAGGGCGCGGGGTCGTCCGGGAGAGAGGACTTCACGTGCAGGAGAGTACTGCACCGGGAGAATACCGCTTGGGGAGACGACTTCACCGTGGGAGGACTGCACTCTGTCACAGGTCTCGTGGCAGAGCAGGACTGCAACCGTCCACGGAAAGCGGCATCAAATCGAAGCGCTCAGTGGATGAAGTGACGGGACAGGGCCGCTCAACGATCGTGTATAGTTTGTGATACTGACGCTTGTCCTCTGCTTCGTGCATGTTTGTGATAATGACGCTTACCCCTTGCTTTGTGAGAATCGAATGGTATGGTACGCCTATCGACCGCAATGCTCTTGGGGCATTCCACGTCAAGTGGAACAAAAAATGACCATTTTGAGCCTCATGTCCTCCGATTTTTGCGAAACTTTGTGAAACTACTCATCTATATGTAAAAAGAAAGGAGACATTTTTTGTCAAGATATGACGTCACGTTTCCGAGATACACGTCATCAAACATTGACTTAGGCAAGGCACATTATCATCTTTAAAGCGTCATAACCATTGAAGTTTTAGACATATCACCACGAGACAAAGTGTGAAATGGAGGGAATAGATCAGGCTTTAACCCTCGCATGTGTGCGGCGTTTTCCAGCTTCTAATGTGTAGGGGGGGGGGGTCGGTTGGACCCCCCCCCCTTTGCCGTTTGGCCCCTGATCGAGCTAGAGCTTCGCGGAAAAAACGAGCGTGTTGCCCGTGACGAGAGGAAGCCGATGATACTCAATCTTAAGGTCCTGGGTCATTGGTTGACCTTCCAGGTCAGGTCAATGACCCAAAGTCGGGAAAATCGGGACCTATTAGAAAGTCGTAAAGTGTGGCTGCTAAGGGGTTTTTCGGGGTGCTGATCACGAAAATCGTGTTAGTTTTGATCACAGATGATGTCTTTAAGCATTTAGACCAGGTCGGGTCAGGTCAGGTCAGGTCAATCAGTAGGCGTCGTGACGGGTATTCGTAGTACGTGTCAACCGCCTCTGACAGCTTCGTAACATGTTACGAAGGCACCAAAACTACTTCGTAAATGTTCAAATGGTTGCTAAATTCGAATTCAGCTCCAAAAACTAGCCTAGAAACATGTAAAACTCGAAAAAGTGAACCGAGGTCACCCGAGGTCACCAAAGGTCAATGACCTGACCTGACCTTCAGGTGACCTTGACACCCACCCTAATGCATGGGAGCAACATCAAATCACATGTTTGAATGTTTGAAACCACGAAAAGCTTGCAAACGCGCGGCTAATGCGAGCCGACGTACGCCGAATCGCGATTCCGGCCAAACATGGTCTCGGAAGAGAGGTCACAGGTCAAAGGTCATTTGGGTCAGGGTCATGAAATTTTCAGGGTAGGTGTCAAATTGATCAATGCGAGGGTACTGAAAGTTTCGTCGCGATCGGCGTTTTTTTACCCGAGTTATTCGCGAAAAACCATGGGGGGGGGGGTCCATCCGACCCCCCCTACACATGCGAGGGTTAATTTGGGGATAACAATATTGACGTAATTACCTAATTAGTGAGCTTAATTACGAGGGTTAATTTGGGGATAACAATATTGACGTAATTACCTAATTAGTGAGCTTAATTAAAATTCAAAAAAATAAATTTTGATTTTCTGAAAAATGGGTACCCTTCGATTTTGCTGATTTTTACATATTTTATTCTCCTATACATAAGCTACATCGTATAAAAAATATAGAATGGGCCGACGTCTACGTAACTGTCTTTTGGACTTCGTAATGTCTGGCACTCGCGTTTTTCGTTTTAGCAACCAAGGAGAGGCGCTACCCGGAGATGTTTCTTTGTAAGTACCCCAAATCAAAGCAAACCTAACCTGACCTGACGTGATCTGACCTAATCAGTAATCTAACACGCGTAAATATGTACAGCCCTCACGGTAGTTGCCGACCGGCGCCCGGCCAAATGCTACCTAGATCCGAACATTAGCCCTCACGACCAGGGCTGCGGAGTCGATGGATTTTCGGCGACTCCGACTCCGACTCCGACTCCGGCTTTCAAAAACCAGCTCCGACTCCGACTCCGACTCCGGGCAGAATTGTCGACTCCGACCGACTCCAACTCCCGACTCCGACTCCGCAGACCTAGCAGGGCTGCGGAGTCGACAGATTTTCGGTGATTCCGACTCCGACTCCGGCTCGGGTTTCTAAAATCGACTCCGACTCCGACTCCGACTCCGGTCACAACTGTCGACTCCGACCGACTCCGACTCCGACTCCGACTCCGACTCCGCAGCCCTGCTCACGACAGTTGTCGGCTGGCCAGACGCTACTTAAAAAAACGAATGCGTTTTAAAACACTTCAGGCTAACCGGCCGCGAGCCAGCGACCTTTAGATTTCGAGGTGGGTACACTCGGCACAGTTACTACTAAGCCACGAAGATAGCTGGTCATCGTAAGCCAGTTTTTTAAATGATGAAATTGGGCATTCTCCGGGCAGCGCCTCTCTTTGGTTGGAAAAAGGAAATACGCCTGACTATCCCAGCGCTAGGGGAGAAAAGCCCGGTTTAGCCAAAAAAGGTATTAAAAAAAAAAAAAACGGAATTTGAATTGTTGGTGGGGCGGTGGGGAACTTTATCGTGTGCCAATTTCATGGCCCTTGATCAATGTCTTCCAGATCAAATGAGGTTAAACGTGATCAAATTTGCTATAGTGACTATTTTGCTTTTATGCGCCCATAGCTCTAAGAGTTACTCGAGGGCAGCGCTTTTCGAGTAGCGCTGCGGCCCGAAGGTTGGGACTTTGAATTGTGAAAAAACGCCCGCCCGCCGCAAACACCGCAAAACGCGCAAAACGCACGCCCGAAACGCCAACAACGCAAATGTCGCAAAAAAACAAACGCCCGCCCGTAGCTCTAAGAGTTACTGGCCGATTTCCCTATTTCTTACTTTATACGACATTTGTAGTGTTATGAGAATCTCTAGTTAATCTTACCATAAATTTGGCAGTTAGTGGCCTGCTAAGAGTAAGATGTCGCCGGCAGAGGCGGGGATCGGCCGACGCGGGAAACGTTTCAGTCACAGATTGTGTTTGCACCCTAATAATTCAACTTTTACCAGTTGATTTTCGTATTTATTCGAACGTTAGATTGCCTGTACATTTTAAAGCCTTCACACAAAATTTGACACGAATCGATCATAATCAGCGGTAAGAAGCGCGGTGAAAAGATGGAACCGTCCGCGCCGGCACAGTCTACCATTCAGGCGGCAACGGCCGGCGCCGGCCGCCGCGCCGCTCCGGCAGGAATGTTTGACTTTACACCGCTATTACTAGAAAAGTTGTGGACCGATTTACCTATTGCTTGCATGGGAGGATTTACAATTCAATTTTGGACAGATACTGAAAGTTTGACGTTAATATGATAATTATGGCGTGAGTTATTGGCGATAAACAGGTGAAGTTAGCGAAATCGACCCCTTCCACCTTCCGTGCTACGTTGCACTACTTGTTTCTATATCATCCAAAGTTATCGTTGGCCCACTCTGATTTTCTCAGCACGTGTGCCTGACGTGTAGTGGAAGACAATATCTAAATTTTAGCAAAATCGAAGGGTACCCATTTTTCGCAAATTACATTTTAAGAAATTAATTCAAAATAAAATGAATTTAAAATCACCAAAAAATGTAAAAATTGTCAAATTTAACTAGCATAACTCCTTATGTACACGTTTCAGTTTGTTTGAAATTGATAGCTTCAAAAACGTTGAAGCTATAGATCTTTCAAGATCGCAATACACCTCAAATTCCGCTAAAAAAGCAGAAGTTTAGCGACTTGTTTCTCTGTAGCCCGAGGGCATATGGCAAAATCCTTTCACCCTCAGAGGTTTCACCCAATAGCCAATAAGTATACCAAGTTTGAACAAAATCGCAGAGGTGGCCGATTTTGGCTGTCCCGGTTGACATGGAATGCCCCTCTTATGCTAATTTTGTGTTACTTGATTGGTGAGAGCTGGTGCTTTTACAGCCTGTAGCTATTGTTTCTGAATGGACTGGGAACCTTGTTGCATATTCTTGTGTGTAGGTATAGCACGTGTATAAAGGTTATACACAAAACATGGCTGTTTTCAGGTACGGAGGACTGTTTGTACTTGATTATTTGATTGATTGATTGGCAGAGTGATCAAGGCCGTCTTTGCATCAGTGTTATAGAGTCTGTGAATCTTGAAGTAGATATAGCCCGTCTTCGCATAAGCAGCCATGGCAATTTACGAATTCGTCACTTGCATGAATATGAGGTAGTTATTCATTTGAGCTGCGATTCTGGTTTTGGTGGCCGTCGGCCGATCTCGATGGCTTTGATTTACAGCTATAAGGCATCAGACTATGTAAAAGAAAGCGCTTTTTGCGTAAATAATTGCTGGTTCCAGCAGGGGAAAAGCCAACCACCATGAGGCACCACGAAAAGAGCGCAATGCACGGCGTGTGGCATGACTTGGTGTTACTGACAACCAAGCTCCAAGCTATTTAGCCGATGGGTATTCGCATGACGTTAAACGCCGTCCTGAGTGACGAGCAAATAAGGCCTGCAATAGATACGTGCTGGGTATGTGCATGACAGATTGATATGACATAGCTGCGGTGCTGATGTAAAATATATTTTCAAAGTCGTTAGCGTATGAAGTGAACCAAAATATGAAAACCTAACCACTGGGCTATTTTATGCTTCTAGAAATGTACGTAATTGTTACACTTTTTGACTGAGTGTTACATACCGCTGCACCGGGTGCGATTTGCAGATCATGGATCCGTAATGTTACACAACATATCACGCTTAGCGGGCACCCAGACCCGTAACAAACCATTCAACCATTGGGACTAAATTTCTGAATATTGTTTTCCACTATCACATAGTAACTCTTTGGTAAGTAGATTGACATTGTATGGAAGTACATGCATACAAACCTTCACGTTTCCCTTCTGCCACGAGCACAAAATGATCACAACAACGTATAGCCGCCTAAAATAGAATGTTGTTGATGCTTATCATCACATCATTATTTTCCCATTTGTACCAATCATGTCACACAGTAGAGTGATCCTCTTTTATGTAGACCCCTCACAAATGAGCGTGGTCGATGTTAACGCTGCGAAATGCGAATACACTCCGAACACTGATGGATCCCAAGAGGGAAAGTGAGCAATGCATTGACAGAAAGAAGCCCCAAACGACCTTCGTCGTCAGCATGGGTGGCGGGTATGAAAATCATTCAGCATTTTGGCCAGTTGCCCATGTAAATAAATCAGTAAATGGATAAAATCATTCGGGGAAGAGTTAGGGTCAATCTCGG